GGGGGCGCGGAGCCCCTCTCGGAGGATGCGGGGCGGTCGATGGCGATTTGCACTGCAGAGGGAAGGCGTGCGGCCCTCCCGCCGCCCCGGCGGGCAGTCGGTCGATGGCGGCTTCATTGTGGTGCCATCCTCCAGGAAAGAGGCGCTGGGATGTATTAAAAAGAATTGATGTAGCGATCCGTGTGGATGCAGGAGCCTTTGAAATCCGGGAGGATGCCTCGGGCTTTCCCCCAGGCCCCAGCCTCCCCGCGTTCACCTTTCTCCTATCGATTGCTGCAGGTGATGCTCGGGAGGAAGAGAAGCACTAAGGAGTGCTACAGCCAACCCCAGCCCCACTGCTGCCTTCAGCTGGCACACTCTGCCACATGGACCTCTCAGAGGCATGAGATGAATTCATGCTAGCAGTAGCCACTACAAAGAAAAGTCCAGGAAGTTTCCAAACTGCAGAGGGAAATGTATCATGGATACATGTACATACGGAGAAGTGTGGTCAGCAGGTCAAGGGAGGTGATGCTGCCCCTCTCTCTGCTCGACCTTAGTGAAGATACATCTGGAGTACAACTGTGCACAACTCTGGGCTCTTTAGAACAAGAAAGATAAGGAGATACTGGAGAGGGTCCAGTGGAGGCCACAAAGATGGGGATGGGTCTGGAGCATCTCTCTTATGAGCAGAGACTGTGGGAGCTGGGCCTGTTTAGTCTGGAGAAGACTGAGAGGGGATCTCATCAATGCATATAAATATCTTAAAGGCAGGTGCCAGGAGGATGGTGCCAGACCCTTTTCAGTGGTTCCCAGTGACAGGATGAGGAGCAATGGCTGTAAACTAAACCACAAGAAATTCCACTTCAACATGAGGAAGAACTTCTTCATGTTGAGGGTGACAGAGCACTAGAACAGGCTGCCCAGGGTGGTTGTGGAGCCTCCCTGTCTGGAGACATTCCAATCCCACCTGGACACATTCCTGTGTCACCTGCTCCAGGTGACTTTGCCTTGGCAGGGAGGTTGGACTGGATGATCTCCAGAAGTCCCTTCCAACCCTAATGATTCTGTGAGTTTCCAAAGTGCCTTTTGATAACATCCCCTGCACCCCAGGGCTCACACAGCCACTGTCCTGTCATGCCCAGAATGAACATGGGGTTGGGTGTTGCACCACCACACCCTAAGCACCAGGGGACATCAAGTCAAGGTTCCAGACCACTCTTTTAGCTCCAAACCATATGGCAATAGAGAATACTTTGTTAACATGGCTAGTAATGTGGGTTGAGTGGCTTTGGGGACCCTCCCACTCCCCTTTGCTGAAAGCTAAACCCACTGTGCCCTGAAAAATCTTTGTCCTTCTAGATGTTTTCCTGCTGAGAGTTGTACAGGCCTGTCAGGCTGCAGGAGGGACCTGTGGGGTGGCCCAGTGCCCCAGCAGCCCCTCTGCCCCCCAAATAACCCTGCAGGAGCTGTGCAGAGCATTCTGGCAGCAGGAGAAAGCTGAGGCTTCATGTGCTCTGCCTTTTTTCCCAAGGATCGATAGCTGAGATCTTCAGAGGGGAAGAGCTGAGCTTTGTTCCACAAAGGCGACAAATAGAAATGGCTTCATTAGCAGAAGTGCCCGGGGGCTGCAGGGGGCCTGGGGGCTGTGCACACAATGCTGCTCTGTTCTTAGATGGTACCACCTCTATCATGGCTTGGGCCCAGCATGATGGGCAATGCCTCAAAAACACAAATGCTTGTATTGGAGGGTCACAGATCACCTACTTCCCCGAGGTAAGAAACCTGGGCAGACCTGGGACTCAAGCACTGAGGGGCTTTGGGACTGTCCTCATGCACCCTTTAGAGTCCCATCCAGTTTGCAAGCCTTGGAATGGAGCTGAAGCTGCAGCACTGGCTGCCCACAGCCCAGCACAGAGCACAGAGACTCTGCCCCTTTGGGTTGAGAGGAAGCATGTCCCCATCCCGGGAGCCTGCAGTGGCACACGAACACCCCCAGCAGCTGCCCCCACAGTGGTGCTGAAGCTGGATCCAGTGCGCCTCCTGCAAGGCTGGACTGTCCCCTCATCCTCCTTCTCCTCCCTCCTGCTCAATTACAGTCCCTGCAGGACATGGGGAAGTGGGCATCAATCACGGCTGGTTACTCAGGTGACAGCAGCTGTGTCCCCAACCCCCCAGGGAGCATGGAAACACACATCACCCCCCGAGCCTGGTAATGAGTGGGGATGTGGGCCCGCGTGTGCCCTCCTGGCTCCCTGGGGCTCTGGTGCTCGATGAGCTGTGGTCAGCACTTCACAGCAGTGACAAGGGACACAAGACCCCAATTAAGGCTGCATCAATCCCACTCTGGCGCTGCTTGGCACGCTCACAAACACATACACCCCACACACACGTTCACAGACTTGCCCCCAACCCGGGACACAGATTGTAGAGCCGCACCCGGCAGACCGAGGGTCCTCTGCAGGGGTACTGTGTCACCCGCGTGTTCCCAAAGCGTCCCTAGCGTGACACCCTTATCCTCCATGTCCCCGCCGCGTCCCCACGTTCCCCTGCCCCCGAGGACAGGTCCGGGGCGGGCAGCGCTGCTGCAGCACTCTGGACAGCGACCGCGTCACACGGGTGGGATCGGGGGTCCGGGTTGAGGCTGTCGCCGGGGACTGGGGGCGTCCCCGAGGGGCTAGGGTTGTCTCTGAGGGACTGTGAATGTCCCCTTCGGCTGGGCTGGGGCTGTCCCTGAGTAACTGTGGTAGTAGTTGGGGGTGTCTCCAAGACCTGGAGGTTTTCTCAGGGGGCTGGGTCTGTCCCAAGGGGGGATTTTCAATCAAGAGTATCTGTCCCCTTGGGTACCAGGGACCTGGCTTAATGGATGCCAGGGTGGACCTGTCCCTGTGGCTGCCTCTGGCTGGGGTGTCTGTCCCATGGGAGCTCCTTGTGCCTCTTCATGTGTACGGGTGGCTGCACGTGTGTGTAAGTGCTTGTGCGAGCACGTGCATCTGCCCACACGTGTGAGTGGGAATGCCATCGACTTTGTACAAGGGAGCACAAGTGATCTGGGCAGGTGTGTGGTGACTGAGTGCCTGAACATCTCCGTGCCTTTCCATGTGCACCCACACACACACCCGTGACCACCCACGCATATGTCTGTGCCTCCCAGCCCCACCTGGGTCACCTGTGTCCTCTGTGAGCACTGCCTAGGTGCCAGGTTGGCCCAGCACTGCTGGCAACTCACCAGGTGCAACCTCACAGCCCCATGGCCGTGGCCCCAGCAGCCTCAGGGCCCTGTTCCTTGCCTGGCAGAGGCGGCCTAATGGGATCCCCACTCAAGGATGAGCTGCCACAGGGAGCTTGGAGGGGAAGGGAGCCTCATGGCCCTGCTGGCATGACTGGAACTGGTGCCCAGTATGATGCAGCCTGTGCTTGAAGGCTCTGGTAGATGCAGGGCACCTGTTTGCAACTCAGAGCTCCCAGAAACTGAGGCAATCCTTGCACTGGAGGCAAACATGAGGCGGGCTGTGAAACCTCAGGCATTAGAGCTGATACCCGGGGGTACCACAGGCTGCAGGGGTGTCCTGCACCCCCAAATAGGCCCTGGAGGAGCTTGGTACCCTGTCATGCACACCACCCCTCGACACTGGTTTGGTTCAGCAATTTGTTTCCTTTAATGGATACATGGAGTCGCACAGCTGCGATGGGAGCGTGGGGGCAGGACTGGCGATGCCGAGCCCCCCACGCTGAGGTAGAGGTGAGCCTTGCTCCACACTCACCTGCTCTGGCAGCCTGGGGTGCAGGCAGGTGGAGGAGGAGCCCGCCCAGCCCCAACGAGGTAGTTTGGAGTGCCCGCTGTCTCCCCACCCTCCGGCTGGGGGACTCTGGCATCTGGGTAGTCTTTGGTGGTGGGGGGGCTCTGCTGGGCCTCCATGCCCTCAACCCTCACCCCCAATATTAACCCCCAACCCCAGCCCCACCTCAATAAGCTCCACCCCCACCATTCCCACCAATATCCCCATTATTTGCCCCCACCAGGGTGACACCCCCTGAGCTGAGGACCTGGGGGGCTGAGATGCCACCACCCTGGGGGTGTCTCAGGGCAGGGGCAGCAAGCCCAGGCAGCGCAGGAGGACTGGGTAGGGGCATCTGCAGTGGGTAGGGGGTGCAGTATATATATAGGGGCTGCAGTGTACATGGGGCTACAGTTTACAGGGGCTGCAGAGTACTGTGCCTGCAGCATTTGCATGGAGGGTGTGCATGGAGACCTCACATGGGCACCAAGGGGATGCAGTGTGTGCACTGGGGGTGCAGTGTATGCATCAAGGTGTGTACAGGGGCAGCAGTGCGTGCATTGAGGTGGGTACAGGGGCTGCAGGATGTAGGGGATGCAGCATGCAGGTCCCAGGGGGTGCCCCAGGCAGCAGGGCAGCAGGAGATGTACAGGGGGTCACCTGGGGGCAGTGCCTTGGGAAAGAAGAGGTGTGTGCGTGTCAGAGAGCACGCACGGGGACAAGGGACAAAAGGGCCCACCTGGGTGTTCAGGGCCTTCCATGGACACAGCTCAGTATTGGAGCAAGAGGCACCTTGGGGTCCCCCATCCCACCGTGGCGGCCCAGTGGGGTCCCACAGCTCAGCCCCCCACACCCTGGGCACCCCCAGCTGCTTTCAGGGTGCTCTCAGGCCTCTGCCTTACGGTGAGGCGCTGGTGGGAGTGTGGCTGTGAGAGGAGGGTGGGAGCAGGGGGTTTGGGGCAGGCATGGGGTTCGGACGGGTCTGGGTGCTCCCTCCACCAGGTGCCGGGGCAGCTGAGGGCCGGCGGGCGAACAGGACACCTGGGGAACAAGAGCAAGGGGGTGAGGGCAAGCCCAGGGTTGGGGGATCTGCTCACCTTCCCCCCAGCACCCAGGCTGGGGAGTGTGGGACCAATACCCATGGGGGCTCCATCTCCCCCTCATCACCTTCAATGTCTCCCCCAGCCCAGCTGTCTCCACATGCATGAGGCTGCCTGTGGGGTGGCCTGGGCCCATTTGGCTGGCAGCCCCACATGCTGATTAGCCCTGACCTTTCTGGCTCGTTAAATATTTAACTCCTGACGGAAAAGCCATCGATTTTAATTGAGGGGTGTCTCAGCAGGGCAGGTATGGAGCTGAGGGACATGGGATGAACTGCTTGGCCACGTAGGTGCACAGTGGCACCCCAAAGGATCCTCTGCTCCAGCAAAGCACCCCAACACCTTCCCCTGCACCCAACACCATGCTCTGTAACCAGCCAAACCCACCACCCAGCCAGAGATCCTCTGGGCACACTAGCATCGGGGTGAGCTCAAATCCAAGCCCTGCCTGCAGGATTCTGGGATGCGAGATGACCCTAAGGGCAGGCTCACTTCTCAGCCTGAGTCTGTCCATCCCCCACTTGAGCCCTTCATTGCTAGCACCTGCTGTGGGCCAATTTCCACCCTTGCTGACCCCCTCCTCCTCCTGCCCCCTCTCCCCAGGCCCTGCCACTTCATTACGATGGATTTTATAGTAAAGACATCAGATTGAAGGAAGGACTTGCTGGCCAGGCAGTGGCTATAAGTTATTGGATTTCCCGGCCGCAATTACACAGGCCAAGCGGCCCTTCTATTTACCTGTGTAGACAACTCCATTTATTTCTATTGACATGTTGATACTGCTAATGCCGTTGGTGGACAGGTTCAATGCGGTCTCCTGTCTGTCATCTGGGGAAAGGAAATACCAATATGAGTGTTAAGAGAAACAGAAACAAGAACCTGCCTTAGAGAGAGAAGCAAGGATCCTTTGGGCATCCATGCTCCTCTCCAGCCGCTGCTGCTCCCACCTGGGGACAGGCTGAGCCCAAGCTGAGGTGCTGCACCTCGTTACCTCGGTTGGAGATCTTGACGTTCATAGGGAACTGGGAGGCCACAGCCAGGAGGTTGTGCTGCAGTGCGTGTTGCACCAGCCGCTGCTGCTCCTCTGCTGTCAGGGCCACCTTCTTCTCCGGGGGCTCCCCCGTCTCCAGCTTCTCCCGGAGCTGCTCCAGCACCACTGCCTGCGAGGCAGCTGCTGCTTGAGCTGCTGTGAGGTGGTGACCAGCCAGTCCCACGGGGATAGCGATGCGCCCCGGCACTGCTGCCGTCAGCATGCCGTCCTCTGCAACAACCAAGAGACCTCAGCGGGGCCCCTCATCCCCACTCCACCCCACCATCCCCGGCTGGTGCTACTTCATCCCACCAGCACAGGGCAGGGTGGGCCACCATCCCCTGCATCATCTGGGTTTGGTCATCCTCCAAAGGCAGCAGAAATAAACTTTTCTCAGTTCCAGAAAGGGACTAAAGGAACAAAATTTCTCATATTTTCCCCAAGCAAAAAGAGCAAGAGCAGACAGGGAACATCCCTGCTCCTGGAGTAGTATCCATCCCTGGGAAGGGACGGCTGCCGCAGGGCAGATGTGATCCTCACCCACCTTTCTTAACACCATGCACTTGGCTGAGCTGGCCACAGGTGTGTGTGGAGATGCTGAGAGCTGGTAGAGGCATTTTGGGCGCGCCCAGCAGGGTTTGGGTGCTGGCTGGCGAGTAGTTGAAGAGTGCTGTGCCGAAGGTCTGCCTCCGTCCCTCCCGGCGGTTGCTGTCAATGGCAGCTTGGAGCTCCCCGGGAGAGCTGAGTGCCCGCTTCTCACATTCGTAGGGATACAGGTACTTCATGTATCTGCACAGGGAGAGAGCCAGGATGAGATCCAGCATCACCCACCTCCCAGCAAGCCCCATGCTGAGCTGGGCTCAGGGTAGGGATGGCACTTGGGAAGGGGCAGAGCCCTCCATCCACTTTTGAGGCTGTCCATGTCAGACCCCACTCAGGGCTCTGGGAGAGCTGAGCCAGTGGGTGCCCCAGGGCAGGGTGTGTGCCCCAGGGCAGGTGCTCCCACCTGCCCCCACTGCCGGGCACTCACTGTGTGCGGAGGGTGAAGGCAGCGCTGGTGATGGAGGTAGGTAGGTTGAGGCCCTTGGTGATCTCCCGCCAGATCTTCTTGTTGATGACTTCGACCAGGCCACCCTTGTCTGTCACCAGCCGGTACAGGGTGTACAGGTCCAGCACTTGCTTGGCCATGATGGGGATGCGGTTCACTGGTGTCCCTTCCAGATGCACAAAGGAGACAGAAAAGGGTGTGGGGGGAGCCCACAGAGGCCCTTATTACCTGGGAACACAGCCTCCACCTTCTCCCCATTGTCACTGCAGGTACCCACAATGAGAGACACATCTCTCCATGCCCATGGGTACAGTGGGGTGCAGACAGGACCCCAGGGTGCCTGGGAGAGTGGCACTCTGCTCAAGAGCAGGGGAGACCCCGGGATGCTGGCACAGGGTCACCTTTGATGGAGCTGTCAGTGGGGCCAGGTATGCTCTCAGCTGGCATGTGGAGCCACAGTGGGATGGGCAAAGTGTCCTCTTCAGACTCCCTTAGAGAAGGTTGTGCCTCTGCAATTTTTAGAGCTCTCTACAGAGCATCAATCCACAAAATCTCTCAGAGCATCCTAGAGGGATTCACTGTGTAACACCCTTTCAGAGCCCCACAAAGAGAGACTCCATCTAAACTTTAAGAAGGGACCCACCTTACAACCTCTCTGAAGAGGGATGCCCCTCACAACCCTTCTGGAAAGACTCACCCTACAATCTGTGGACAGGTTTTCCCTCCCAGCCCCACACAGAGACACTCTCACAAGAGTCCCTGAAAAACCTCTCAAACTCAAAGATGCCTCCAGCACCTCCCACTGCTTAAAGGTCTTCGGTGCCCTGCCTCAAGAGACCTGACCCCAAACCCCTTGAAGTACCCTTAGTAGAGACTCTGACCCCTGGTCCCCCAGGATCACCCCCCTCACCGAGGCCATGGGGTCACCAGGGTTCTGTGAGCCCAATATAGACCAGCATGGTCTCCACAGCCACCAGGTCTGGTTACAACCCCCTCCCCACTTTCTCAGCACCCCCAAATAGCCCCACACCCTTGGCACCTCGGGGCAATGGTCTGGGCAGTGGCTGAAAGCTGCAGCAGGGCAGAGGAGGGACAAGCATCACATCCCATCCCACCCCATCCCATCCTGTCCCATTCCACCCCATATTTATTCCCTCTGTAAGGCGGCAGGGCACAGGCAGTATTGGAAAGCCATCCATTTGGCCGGGGGAGGCTGTCACGACCATGCTTTGCCCCTCAAACGAAGCCGTCATTCACCACCATCCTCCAGCATCCCTAATTTATGGCCCTGATATTGGCTCGGCTTCTTCACATAAGCCTGAAAAATGAGCTCTTTTTATTCTTTTACTGAGTTCATTTAACTTTTTTTTTTTTTTTTTTGTGTGTGTGACTGTGTTGTTCACCAGGTCGGGAAGGGGGAGAGGAGTTTATCCTCCTGGGAAAAAGGTAGAGATATTGACTTGATATCTGCTGTCAGTACCTCACCAGCCCTGGTGGGGGCTGCTGGCACGAGCCCCATCACCTCGGGGGGGGGAGGTGCAATTCAAGGGCTCTCCCTCCCTCCCAAATGCGAGTTTGCAGGGTCTCATCCCCCACTCAATGGCCCATGGACTGTTTTCTCCTCTTCCCCCCTCTCCAGCCGCGGTGGCCAGTGAGAGTGGCTCGCCATTAATCTCASGGCTGTGCGGGCAGGCAGCCGATGCCTGTCCTACTGACAAAGGCACCTGTCTGCGTCCCCGCAGAGTGATGGTCCCGGCCCCAGCCAGGGCGAGGGCCACAAAAGCCCAGGGAGGTGATGCAGCCATTGTGGTGCTGCAATTAGCGCCTTGATTGATTAATGGTCCCGTGTTATCAGCAGGGCCCTCGGCTTGGCAGGGAGATTGGGGGGGGGGCTGCAGATCCCTGGTGAGCAAATACAGAAACAGCCCCCCTATGACCCAGCTCGCTGCTTTTGGGGTCCCACAGACGTTGGGGCATGGTAATAAGGTGCCCCACTGCCTGTAGCCTGTATCTGATGGGGGTGGTGGTATCACCCCCATTAACCACTGTGGCCAGGTAGGCCCTTGTGCCATGGGGTGGCTTCAGAGGGGCTGCGCCCAACCCATTTTCCAGCCCTGCTAATTTTCCACCCTGCTGCCAAACGTCAGTGCTGAAACTGCCCTGACAGACATAGGGGGGACACATCCTCTTTCATTAGGGTTCGCCCTGTGGGCATTAATCCCTTCTGGCCCACTGCCACCCTGGGGACACAGCCTGGGTGTCACAGGCCTGCCTGTGAACCCCTGAGTGCCACAGAAGCAACTGCCATGGCTCATCCGTGGGTGCTTCTTACCCAGTTCCTGATGACCCTGAGAGTCCCATCACTGCCCCACAGCCCCTCTGGTCCCCTTTTTCTTTGCTACCCGACTCCAAGATCACCAACTCCTCCAACAGGCTTGTGCACACCTATAACTACACACCTGCATCCCTGCCTGCCCTCCCCAGGGGGATGGCACCCACTTGGAGGAAATAAAGGACGAAGGGGACAGCGGGCACAGGAGCAGGACAGCCCCACACAGAACGATGTAGAATAGAGCACCATCAGGGAAGCAAGCAGCTCCCTCCCTCCTCCCCAGACCAGCAGGCACTTACTTAATTAGCCCCGGCCCCAATAGCGAGGGAGTTAATTAGCTCTGGAAAGAGAGATAATGAAGCCGCAGAACAGCCCATGAATCTTGCAGCTGCAGCTGATGGATGTGGGGGGCCGAAACAGCACTGATGCTCTCATTCGCTCCCCATAGCCCTGCACCAGGGCCAGGGGGATCAGGGGGCACCCATAAGGGCAGTACCCAGCCCTTCCACCACCTCCAGCCTAGCTCCAGCATGAGCCCCGTGGCTGTACCAGCGCCCCACAGCACAGCACTGAGTGAAACAAGTTTGGGGTGTCTCAGTCTGACCCAAAAGTCAACCCCTGCAGCCCCACAGACAGGAGAGTACCCTCACCACCCTTCCTACGGGCAGGGCACGAGGGCAACTGCCCCTTTCTGCCCTCCCTCACCCCACACACAGGCCAGCCCCGCTGCTCCCGCACCCCCCCCTTTAGCCTTCCCCTGTTAATTAGCTCGGCATTAACCTCTGCCTGGGGTTTACTGGCTATCGAGCGGCTTGTTCATTAATCCACACACCAGCAAAAGGCTCTAATTAATACGGCCGCCCACACGCCCGCGCTCGGCAACTTTTAATTGTCGGAGGCCCGGCCGGGGAGGGCGAAGGTTAAAGCATTTATCGAGTCCCCGGGAGCCGGCACGGCCCCCCATGCCGATAGCAAAGATTTCCGATGAGGATGGGTTGGCTGGTGAGCCCTTAACCCCTGGGTGCCCGGCGCGGGCCCCAGTCTTGCACACCATGGGCGTCGCTGAGAGATGCTGGTGGTGGGCATCCTCACCAGGTGCTGCTGATGGGGAGCCCTAATGGGCACTGCCGAGGGCATTCCGACCAGGCATCACTAAAACACCCTGAAAACTGCTAATGGGTATCATTAACGGGTGTTGCTATTGCTTGTCTCCCAGGGGTATGCTAATGGCCATCCCCACAGGGCGTTCCCAGTGGGCATCTGTGCTGGGATAGCTGACGGGCAATCGGCATGGACAGCTGCCCCAGCCTGGGGCTGCGGGGGAAGGGGGGGGAGGGAAGGCACCGCAGGGCCTGCCTGGGGATTTCTCAATGACCTGGAGCAGCTAAGACCCGAGAGGATCACACCATGAGCCCCTGCCAGCAGCTGAGGCCGGGGTGAGACACTGACACCCACCCCAGCCACCCACCTTTACCTCTCTTCTGCATGAAACCAAAGAGGTCATCCAGGAACTCCTTGCGTTTTGGGTCCTCATCCAGTTCGTAGAGCTGGGGGCAGGAGAGAGAGGGGTCAGTGCTGCTGGCACATGGAGGTGAGAAAGGCAGAGGGTCCTGGCTGTGCCAGGACCTGGCATCATCCCTGGCCCCACGTTCCTGCTCTGCCAGCAACAAAAGGCTCTTCTGTGTGCACCACGGACAGAACCCCCTAACACACCCCTCTGTGCTGCAGCACTGGACTCTCCCTGTGCCTGGGGTCTGGTGTGGGCTTCCTAAAACCCACTATTTTGTACCTTTGCTGCAGAGATGCTGAGTCAGTGCTTCAGTTTCCCCCTGTTCCTTACCTTCTTAGGTGGAGGAATCAGTGTTTCAGCCCAGGGGCATCAGCAAACCCCAGGCCAGACCCTGGGATCAGGATGCTCAGCCCTGCTCAGCTCTTCTCTGGCTCAGCACTGCTCAGTGCTGGTGTTCACCGAGTCCCAGCACAGGATCAGCATCCTCCTCAGATTTCATCCCTCACAGGGACACATGTCCACCTGCACAGTGGAGATGCTGGTCCCATGCCAGGGCAGGGAAAACTGGCCTGGCCATGGCACTGGTTACTGTGAGGGAGCTGCCAGCACTGGGGCTGCCCCAGCAAGTTTGTGGGTGCACTGATGCGTTTGCAAGCCGGTGAGTGAGCACACAGTTGTACAGATGCACACTGTGAGGATACTTAAGTGTGCTGGATGGATGCAGATCCAGACACACGGACACAACCCCCGAGCTGAGCTGAGCTGAGGGACAGCACCGGGGAGGTGAGTGCAGCCCCTACGCCAGGGACGTGAAGTGCCGGCTCCGTGCGAAAGTCAGAGCTCGCCTGATTCCAGCACAGCGCCTGAGTGACCATGACAAATTGGAGCCCGCCAGATCGATGGCCCAGCAGTAAAAGTCAGAGCACATGAAGGAAAAATTAGCACCAATCGAAGACGCTATAGACACCAATTCCTCCCAGCAAGCCCGGCAAGAATTTAAAGCCATTGAAAAGAAACAAAACTCAGCAGTCCAGAATGGATTTCCAAAACATATACAAAGAAATGCAAGCTGGAAAACAAAGTCAGGCACAAAATAGAGTCGTTTAAAAAACAATTGTGCTGGGAAAGGCCGTTAAAAACCAATAGAAAGGGAGCACACCCTCCCCCCCTCCCAGCACATCATTCACCAGACAGATAAAAGGAGCTGTGCTTTAGGGACATCAGGCTGCAGAGACATGGGACGTGGGGATGGGGGGGATGCAGGGACGCGATGGGGACGTGAATGCAGAGATATGGGGATGTACGGGTGCAGGGGTATGGGAATGTAGGGATGTGGAGTTGCAGGGACTCGGGGGCAGGGCGATGTAGGGATTCAATGAGGACACATGAATGCAGGGACATGGGAATGTAAGGATATAGGGATGAAGGGACTTGGGGGACATGGAGATGTAGGGATGCAGGGGTGGAAGGGACATGGGGCCATATGAGGGTGTGAGCATGCAGGGATGCTCCTACAGACGCCCCATGGTTCCTGTCACTGAACAGACACATCTAACACGGTCCCTCATCTAACGCAGGGTGCCAGCTGCCCGTCCCTTGTCAGGGTGCTAACTGCTTGTACCTGAACCGGTCTGTGGGTGCTACTGCCAGACTCCCACCATGCACACCGGTGCTGAACTGCCTGGCTCTGTGGTGTTCCATCTGTGCTGCTTCCTTGCTCTCTAGATCCCACTCACCCATCCCCTCCTTGCAGCTGGTTGCTCTGGGAGTGCCCTGACCCCTGGGTGCCAGCACCCTGTCCCTCTCCTCCATCGTGGTGTTCCCTGCCTTGCTCGGTGCCCCCTCCTCATTGCCTGTTCTTTCCCAGGAGCTCCTCGAGCCATCGATTACAGTAACTAGGTCAGGCTCAGAGCAGAGCTCCAGGAGGCTGCTTTGATTTCTGCCCCAGGAAGGCTGTGTCGGCCAGGCTTTGCCTGCATTTCCTTGCCTGTGGAAGGGCTCCGACCCCCACCGCTCCCCATCAAGCCCGTTTACATCCCCTGAAATCTCCTGGCTTGTCGAAGCAGGAACAAATGCCCCTAAACTGGCAACCACCACTCATCCCACAGCAAGGGGAATCCACGGCCTTCCCGGGGATCACCAGTGGTTGAGTTTCTGCACCCACACCCCTGCTGTGACCCAGGGTGCCACTTGTGTTTCTTCTTCCTACAAGCCAGGGAGGATCCCACCCAGAACGGGCTGCTACTGACTCCAGCCCCCAAAACAGGTGTGACCTCCAAGTGCCAGGTTCTATTTTTCCACTGTTTATTAACCCCTAACCTTTTATCTGTGGGGCACTGAAATGCAAAAACATGTTACATCCAACGGAGGACAAAGGTCAGCTTTTAAGTGGAGACAAGAGCAGAGCTGAGTAACAGGGAACCAGACGGTGAGGTCCCTGGGTACACTGGGATGCACCAGGTGTTCCCTCAATTTTGGGGATGCTCAGGCTGGAGAGGAGGGGGTTTTGGGGGATTCCCACTCATGGGGGGTGGAAGCTGAGTCCCAGACAAGGATGGTAAAGGCATCCTGCCATCACAGCTTCACAGGAGTGACACAGGGGTAGCATGGGTGGTGGCATAGGTGGTGGTCTGCTACAGACTCCAGGCAAGAAGGGACCTATGGTTCAGCCCTATCCCCAAAGAAATCCAACTCCATCCGTAACCCAGGGCTCTGGGTCCAGTTGCTCACCCTGCTCCTCCTCCTGCAGGGTGGGGACTGTGGTCCCCTCCCACCTCACTTGGGGACTGATCATCTAAGAGGCAGATCAGAACTCTCCTGAGTCATACACACCTCACCTGGCTCTACATAACCCCACGAGGGCTGAGAACCCCACATGGGTGTGTACAAGCCCAAGCAAGCCTATACAACCCTACACAGGCATGCACAACCATGTATGGGCTTGCACAACCCCACAAGTGTGGGTACACTCGTCCCCCATGAGTGTGCACAACCCCTTATGGTCATTGCACAACTCCACACAAGCACGTGCACAGCCCTGTACACAGACACACATCCTCCTCAGGGCCACATGCAAGCTCGAATGGGCAGTACAGCCCTGCACAGGCACGCACAACCTTGCATCAGCGTGCACAGCAGAACAACACATGAGCGTGCACAAGCCTGCACATGCATGCCCAGCCCACACAGGCACAAATTCCTACACAGGAACCATGTCTGGATGGGCACAGCCTCCCACGGGCATGTACAGCCCCAGGTGGGCTGGCATGACTCCAAGGTGGGCACACAGACTTTTTATGGGTACACACCACTCTGCACGAGCATCCACAACCCCACACGTGCATGGGCACACACCCCATATGTACATGCACAATTTTAGACAGGCCTGCACAACCCCAGAGGGGCACACACAGCCCCAGACAGGCAGATGTAGCCCCAGACAGCCATGCACAGCCCCAAACATGCACGCCCAACCCTAGATGGAACATGCACATTGCTGTTACATGCACACAGAACTTCAATATGTGCATCCACAGCCCCTGACTGGAACACACTACCCCAGACGGGCACGCACAGCCCGAGACTGGAACACACACCACCAGTGGAGCACACACACCACAGCTGTATCCACACAATCCCACACATACATGCACAACCCCAGCCAGACACTCTGTGTGGGTGGACACACCCCACCCTGCAGGGGCACATGCTGCCCCAGCCATGTGCCTCAGAGCAGTGAAGTGGGCCTTGCCTGGGGGCAGTTGTGCAACACAAGCAGCGGCGCCTGCTTGTGGTGACCTATGAGCAAGGACCCTTTTAATCGTGTTTGTATTGATATAATTAGTAACTCATTTAACGCCATCGATGTAACTATATTCCTCTATAAACAGAAGTATTAAACTGTCAAGTCCCGGGATCGATACCCCACCAGTGCGCAGTGCAGCTCTGCCCTGCTGACCTCGGGGACTCCGAGGTCCACAGTGCTTGGCCACCCCATCAGCCACGGAACCCCAGCACCACCCTAAATCCACCTGGCACCGCTGCCTGAGTGCTGGTGCAGGACTAGGGCACAATGGTCTCATCCCCCACCCCACCCTGGGTGCAGCCCTGGGACCCTGCTCCCTCCTGTCATCCCACTGCCATAGCGACATCTATATTCCTTAAGGGGTGGGGATAACGGCGCTTGTCAGGCAGGTTAAAGGTCAGCGGGTCGAACATGGTTTATTAAAGGCACGTGAATAAACCTTGTGCCTCCTCCTCCTCACCGTAATCAAATAACATTGTTAGCCCCACTCACTCACCCAGGAGATGCCTCTCCTGGAGCCAGGGGGGCCTGCAGGGATGGAGCTGGGGTTCCTGAGACCACTTAGCCTAGCTGATTCCCTGGACGGTGGAAGGATGTGGTGAGGTGCTAAGGCACCCCACAGGCATTTCCAGGCTGCCCTGCCTCAGTGAGCCCCTGCACACTCCCGCCAGGGCATTGCTGCCAAGGGAAGCAATCTCAGCTCTCAGCGGGACCCCGCGCAGCCCCTGCTCAGCTGCCACCTCCTGCTGGCAGCCAGGGCTCGGATCGGAAGCCAGGATTTAATCCACTTAATATGAGTTGTATCGATCCCGGACTCAGCTCAGCTCCCCCCCACCTTGCAAACCCCCCCCTAACCCTGAGCCGCTTAATATGCACCACATTGATTATCTGCACTGCTAATTTTTCCATCTGGCCCCTGTTCACGCAGGGCACTCAGGTAACACTTGTCTCCCTGCTCCCCCGGCCTCCTGGGGTGCAGCCACACGCCACGGGGGGGTTGACCACTGACGCACTGTTTTGAAGTCACTGCACCCCTCCAGAGCACCACTGTCGCCTCTGAATGGGAGTCTCTGGCTTCTTCCCTCAGGGAAATGATGCACACCAACCAGGCACCCAGACACTGGAATTGGTTCTACCCTGCTCCCTGATAGCATGGGGGGAATAGCCATGAGTGCCTCAGTTTACTCTGCAGGTAATCAAGGAAACTGGCTATTGCCATTTGAGGCACAGCCCTGTACACCCGGGGGTACAGGGATTGGACACGCAACAGTGTCCACAGTTAGAACCCCCCAGCCATAGACCACACACAGGAAGCTAAGGGGTTGTGGGTCCCTCCTCCCCATCCCTTCTGCCAGAGTTGGGGGGCAGTTCACTTCCCGCTGGGCACAAACCACCCCCTGACCTTGTGAGCCACCACTCGCCTCTGCCACCAGTTGTTAATAAGTTAATGGTTATGGGACGGCTCTGCTGGGACGACGGCTGCATTCGAAGGCACTGCTGGTTCCTGGGGGTACGCTACTCCCCTGACCCCACAGCCCCGACGGGTGCCGAGATGCTCGCTCACCCCAACATCGCCAACAGCAGCGGTCGCCCCACCGGTGGGGCTGGACACCTCCGTTTGGAGACCTTCCCCAGAACCGTGGCTCCCCCCCAAGAGCCTTTCATCACGCTTAATATTTAACGGCGCTTTATAGAGCAGCAGGTTTAATCAGCGCTGATAATGCGGCAGATCCGGCAGGTCATTAAAACCCCCCTCCCCGCCACAGCAGGCACTGCCGCTCCCGGGAGGGCTGCCTGCTGCAAACATTAACCCGGCTCTGTGCAAGGTGAGGGACTGTGTGCTGGCAGAGCTGGCCTTGAGACGGGCAGCCCCCTGCCCACAGCCCCGGGGTGAAGTGGGGGGGCTCACAGGGTCCCCAGCCTCCTGCTCAACACATTTTGCAGGAGGGGAAGCTGAGGCACGGGGTACCGGCTCAGCTCCCCCAAGGGCTGGACGCAGAGGAAACATGCTGTGTGGTGCCACTGTGGGTGCCATCCATGGCCCCGTCCTGCTGTGTGCCCCACCTGTCT